GAGATACAGATACACCTGATACTATGAAAGTGATCATCATAAAATACTTGCTACTATAAAATAAGCATTGAAGAAGGTAAAAGAGGAATAAAACAAGTGGTTCAGATAGTATATGCCAGTATATGACAGAATTCAGTTCATCAGCTGAAGCTCCAACAAGTTGATCAATATTATACTGAATAATGTTAGCAGAAAACTGGAAAAACCAAAATAATATACAATATAAGCAAAAGTGAAAAAAATCATCAGCACTGCTTCAGAGGTATAGTAGTTGTTCACAATAAATCCAATTCCCATTATAATCCATGATACAAAACACAATACTATACCAATCAGTGTAGCTTTGTATCTTCCAATCCATACATCAGCTAACAGGCCAAATAAAGGAAAGGATAAAAAACCAAAGAAAAATAAAATGACTAAACCATACTTATACCAAGCAGCAGGAGCAAATTTTGTTGCTATTAATCCACCAGTGAATCGACTCAATAATATGTAATTAGAATTCATGAGACAGTTCCAAAGTAGAACCAAGACTGCTGAAGGAGTAATATGAAGGAATGGTTGCCACTTTCTAGCTAGCTGCATAGCAAAACAGGTCACCGTAATTATTAATACATACCATTCAAAGCTTTGATACATATAGTAAAGTAAATGTTTATGCAAATATATGATTTCACTTCCAAAGTTCCAATATAGACAAATGCTATTGTAATGTAGTCCCAAAAGCACAAATATTTTGTCTATTATGACACTACATGTACCAAATTGTTCCCTTTCATTTATATATTTCTAGTAAGGATCATCAACTATCTGAAAAGTTTAGCCAGTATCACAAAGACTATCAGTGACTATAGTGCTACAAAATATTGGAGTACAAGAAGAAAAAGCATTAGAGTACAAGAATAGGGGTAACTGCAACCCCAATTGGAGGGTAAAGCAACTTTTACTATAAATTACATCTACAAGACACATTATCTACTATTAATAGTCCTTATTAGTAATACTATAGGAGAAACTGTCAATGTCACTACCAAATTGTTCCCTTTGATTTATGCATCTCTCATTAATCAGAATCAGCTCAAAGTTGATTCACAACATAACTTGAGGGAAAGTATGTGTATCAGGAAAAAAAAGAAAATTATTTTCTTCCAGCCATTTCTGACAAAATTTAGCTTGAGACCAAAGGCTACAAAACATAAAAAATTAAAAAAACAAGATTGAGTAGGATTCTAGAGCAAGTTTGTAAAAAAAGTAATGGAAACAAGGCAAGTAGGATTCTGAACGACTGACTATTCATACCAACAAAATCCAAAATGAAAATCCTACTCTTGTGATGCAAATTCTACTCTACATTGCATTTTTAATAGTATTAAATAAAATTTTCAGCTATAGCTTTACTGAGAATACCATAAAAGGAAAGCCACATAAAGATTATTAAAAAGTCATTTTATAGTGAACAAATTATTAGAGATGATCTGAATTTCAAGCTACCAAACACAATATCTGAACAGGGTTAAATATTCATCTGAACTATCAATATTGCAAATAATTTGTACAAATGTACTAATTCTGTCTCTGTTATATCATGCCTGGCTTATAATGACTATACCAAGTGGCAGGAGCAACTTCAGTTGAGAATACACCAGTGGAATCACAGAATATAATAATTATACAAAAGGTATAGTTTCATACTAGAACCAAGACTGCTAAAAGAGTAATATGAATCACTTTCTATCCATGTAGCAAAACAGGTTACCATAATGATTAACAATACATACATGCATAATTCACATTTAAAGCACATGTAATTCAAAGTTGATTATTTTGATTGATATGTATAGTTTATTATTAAAATTATACATTGAAAAGAAAGCATCACTTCACTCTTATTGAATTACACTAAAAACAAATAAAAATTGGTTTATAAAACATTAACATTATTGTAGTATCCCTAAATCATAGTACATACTGTCAATTTGAGGAGTCATTGTCAATTCCACTTATAAATTGTTCCCTTTGATTTATGTATCTCCGATAATGATCATCAACTATCTGAACAATATTAACTTCATTCTCTCTCACACGATACTTGTAACGTTTAGCCAGTATCACAAACACTATCAGTATCATAAGAACTAGTACACTCTTTGCTATATAATAATAGAAACTAGTACATATGTATTGACTCTCACAATCAAATGGAACCTTAAAAGTAATGTTAATAGTATAGCTAATTCCACAAGATACAAACCACAATCCAACCATCATTCCTCTCATGTGTACTGGAGACTGAGCTACTGTAAATTCCAGTGATACTGGATACAGAAAAATATTAGAAACAAAGTGGATAGTTTGTGGAATAAAGAGAAGTGTACCAATATTGTTTATGCTATGAGACTTCTCAATGACAAATATGATTACTTTAGAAACTGTAACAATGAAAGCAAGGAAGATACCAACACTCATTCTAGTCAGCATACTGGGAATATACTTGTAGAAACAAACTCTGATAAAGAATAAATAAACTAACATTAGAATGACTGAACCAATAAAAA